TGCTCTCTCTGCAGGCACTGCCATGGATCCATCCATCCATCCATCCAACACCCAGCAATCCAGCACCAGCTCCCGAGGAACCTTCTGCCTCCAGCGCTGCCCCAGGACAAGTGGGAGCAGCAGGACTGATGCTGCTGGAGACAGGATCAGCCAGAGCACTTGGAATTCCCTCTGTGAATGAGGAACATCAGATGTGTGCTCCAGCTCGGATCCAGAGCCGGGAATGGAGGGTCCCAATGGGACATGTGCCACGTCCTTCCCAGCACACAGGATGTGCTCACAGCCCCAGGCACTGAGTTATGGGTGCTGCACACACTCCCAGGCTATTCCCAGCACACACAGAGCACAGCAATCCCTGATCCACAGCCTCCCCTCGACCTGCAAATGGATCCAACCTCTCCTGAGCCCTCCACACCACGGGGATTCCACAGGAATGCTGGAACTCAGCACCACAGACACCCAAAACCATGGGAAATCAGTGTCCCTGGAGGTGCAAACAGCCAGATGTTGGATCACTCACACCAGCAAAACACCTGCATTTTCCTGCCCTTTCCTGGAGGTGGTTCAGGGCCTCGAGGTGCTCAGAGGGATCCCCAGCCTTGTCAGCTGCTCCAGAGCTCCCAAATCCCACCAAGGGATCCCTCACCATGTCAGCTGCCCTGGAGCCCCCAAATCCCACCAAGGGATCCCTGACTGTGCCAGCTGCCCCAGAGCCCCCAGATCCCACCAAGGGATCCCTGACTGTGTCAAAGGCCACAGAGCCCCCAAATCCCACCAAGGGATCCCTCACCATGTCAGCTGCCCCAGAGCCCCCAAATCCCACCAAGGGATCCCTCACTGTGTCAGCTGCCCCAGAGCCCCCAAATCCCACCAGCAGCCAAGGGGAGCAGGGGAAGGAGGAGAGGCTCAGACCTCAGGAACCCAGCTCTCCCTCTCCTCAGCAAGTGTGGGTTCTGGCCCAGCGAGGGCCAGGGATGAAACATTCCTGTGAGGACTTCAGAGGTGGGAAAACAAGAGCCATGCTGAGGACAAACCTCCCTTCTCAGAACTGCTGCACAAAGGGCTCTAACACCAAGGTCCTGCTCTCCCCTCGCATTCCCAGGGGAAGAATAACGTGCTTTGTGCTGTGAGGGGACGGGGAGGTCACGGGGGAACAGAACACTTCCTATGGGAAAATCCCAGCCCTGCACAGCCCCGAGGGGCCGGGGTGTGCAAGGGGTTAATCCCAGCACTGCTCCGGTAGGAACCAGGCTCTGGAACAGCCCCAGTGGACTGTTCAGCACAGAAGGGTTACTTTTCATATTCAAGGAGAAACTCCTCAATAAATTAGATTTCAGGCTGTGCTCCCTCCACTCCAGCTCTGTGGTTAAACCAGTGGGGAAAGTCTGAAACAGGTTTCTGAACCGGATTTGACACCCAAAATGTGCAAACTCCCTTCACTCTCACCTTCGTGCCTGTTTTCCCCCCTCGACAACATTCATTTATGTTTTGAGATTAACAACCCAGAGGTTGTCTGAAACAGATCCCATTTTACAAGTGGTATTTCACTCATTTTACAAGTTATTAACCATATCTTAAAATGCTTGAGCAGCAATGACAGATTCAAAGAGAACACTTCAATAATCTCTACATCCCAGATAACGTTATCTGCTCCAAAACAGGGGCTGGCATCCAAAATCAGTTTCCAAACCTGTTTTCAGGACATTTTTTGAACTTTTCTGCCACAAGAGAAGAACCTCAGCTGAACTCCTGCCTTGGAAGAGTCATTCATGGAATGTGGTCTCTATCCAATGTCCTTCCTTCCCCCTGAAACACTCCCAGCAGCACCAGACAACGACTTGTTGGTGTGGATGAGGTGCCAGGACGTTCCCTGTGAGGAGCCATGGAACAAACACAGAAGTTTGGGATTTGTCACAGAAACAGAAGAGGAGTAAACTCTCAAGTGCTACAAACAGACAAACTTTAAACACAGGGCATCAGAACATCCTTTAGAAAAGACTTTTCCCAACATCTCTAAACCTCCTCCAGCATCTCCTGGCAAACACGGAGCTGACTCTGAAGTGGCAATTCCTTCACTTTATCCCAGAACTCACCGAGTTCAGCACTTCCCATCCAACACATTTCACTCTGAACTTCTCTGTCAACAAGACCAACCAATCCACCACTATTCAGCCCCCCAAGATCCTCCCAGTGTTGTTCCTGCTCTGTGGATCGTGAGGAATGTCTGGAATACCAGCGGGAGGGGATGGGGCACTCCCAGAGGGAAGTGGTGCCTGGGAGACTCACTTTCCCTGGAAAAAAGGTGCAGTGTTGAGATAAGTAACCCTTTGAGTTGCCTGTTACTCCTGGGCAAGGTCCAGCCAACCAGAAACTTGGGAGAAACAACCCCACACCAAGTGCCTCAGGAAATTCAAATCCAGGGAACAGGATGTGATGCACACGGGGAAAACAACACCCAGGGGTCCTGATCCTTAATTCCCTGAAAGTGTGGCCTGATGCAGTTAAACTAAAGGAAACTGTGTGTTAGGAACTGTCTGGGATGGAATGGGATCAGTGTGGAAATCTGTGCTCAGTGCCACACGCAGCACTGGGCATTCCCCCTCTTCCTCAGCATCCCACGAAGGAGGGGAACTGGAAAAGGTTCCGGGGTGATCAAAGACACGGAGCAGCCTCCACAAAACAAAGAAGCATGGGAAGACTTCTCCAGCTGGAAAAGATTTTACCAGTGAGTGGAGGAAGCAGAGCCAGGAAGGGATATCCCTGGGATAACTCATCCCGGGATAATTCAGCACCAACCCCCAGAGCAGCAGCTCAAAATAACCCCTCGGCTAAGCTGGGAGATCCCTTCCCCAGGACACTGTCCCTGTCACACGGCTGCAAAGCCGGGGATAAACCTCTGGGAAGGGAGCTGAGCCAAGCCAAGGATTCCTCTGGCTCCAGGAGATTCCTCTGGCTCCAGGAGATTCCTCTGCCATGAGCCCCTTGTGCCCAGCGTGGCACTGGCTGGCAGTGCCCAAAGGATGGTCCCGTCTGTGCCACCTCAGGCCAGACCCGGATCCACGGGAACCCCGAGGGGCCGAGCCCGCCCTGGCAAATGTCCTTATGCAACACATCCCACGTGACCCTCGGAATAATCTCCTCCTTTCCCTTCATCAGAGTAGCTGCTCCACAAGTGGCTGGGGAATCACTGTCTCCTAAAGATACCAGACTGATGCAACACCCCCGTGCAGTTACACCCCCGAGCTCCCCCAGCCCTGCACACAGCCTGGAGCCAGGATCAAACAGGAGGAATCCATCAATGCCTCCCCCCTGGCTGAAGCCTCGTGCAAACAGCTGGCCCAGCACAGCCCTGCACTGCTCTGCTCTTCCTGCTGCAGGTGCTGCTGCTGCCCTTCTCCAATCCTCTCCACCAGGCAGGAGGAGCAGCCCAGCCCCAGCCTCCTGCTTGGGGTATGAAATGGGTAAAATGCTTTTGGACGATCCACCTGGACCTGTGCAAAGCATCTGACACTGTCCCACACAACATCCTCATCTCTGAACTGCCCAGACATGGATTGATGGATGGGACACTCAGGGATAAGGGATGGGCTGGGTGGTCACACTCAGAGCTGTGGTCAATGGCTCAGTGTCCAAGGGGAGACCAGTGAGCAGTGGGGTCCTCAGGGGCTGGGGCTGGGACAGGACTGTTCAAGGAATCCTTCCCTGGGAGGGTGGGGAGGCCCTGGCACAGGTTGCCCAGAGAAGCTGTGGCTGCCCCTGGATCCCTGGAAGTGTCCCAGGCCAGGTTGGACGGGGCTTGGAGCAACCTGGGAGAGTGGAAGGTGTCCCTGCCCCTGGCAGGGGTGGGACTGGATGAGCATTAAGGTCCCTTCCAACCCAGGAAATGCCATTTCTGAAGTGGGCACTGTGTCAGATCCACGCTCGGTGTCATTTCTGAGTTTCCAGCACTACACGAGACTCAAACCCTCCCCAGAACTGCCCCAACTCCCCACTAGAGAACAGGAACTGCCTAAAATCCAGACAAACCCTTCAGCACAGCCCTGCAGATTTCTGGGCCTCACTCAAGGCCATCCCAGGCTGCACTGAAGGACACACCACCTCTCTCCCTGTCCCTGTCCCTCACCCTGCCTGCAGGGAAAGGCCCTTCTCCCCCTGCATCCCTCCTGCCCCACCATGGTCAGGGAGCCACAGCACTGCTGAACCCTGGGCAGCAATTACAGCTCAGGGAGAGCAGACAGGCCTGAGGGGACTCCCAGGGCTCCACCTCATGCCCCTCACCCAGAGCATCACGAGTTCTGCTCAGACCATTCCCAAGGGACCATTCCCAAGGGACCGTTATCCCATTTGCTCCTAAGCAGCTGGAGACTCCTCAGCCACCCTGAGCAATGGCTGCAGGTCCAGGCCTTAGACAGGGTTTGGGGATGTTTCACCTGGGCCCTCCCTGCCATTTAAACCCCCTCAGTGCTGGTCCCAGCGGGCACACAGAGCCTGGAATCACTGAGGTTGGAAAAGCCCTCCAGGATCATCGAGTCCACCCACCCCCAGCACTGCCAAGGCCACCACTGCCCATGTCCCCAAGTGCCACATCCACAGGGCTTTGAAATCCCTCCAGGGATGGGGACTCCACCCCTGCCCTGGGCAGCTGTGCCAGGGC